GCTGGAGACACGCATGCACAGCTTTCCAACAGCTGCAGGGAACATGAGAGGGCGTCAGCACCCCTTCACTTCACAGATGAGGACTGGAAGCCGAGAGAGCTCTGGTGACCTAGCAAGGTCATAAAATGACAGGGACAGCACTGGGGCTCAAACCCTTTGACCCTAAGCCTCTTCGAACCCAAATAACCTAAGGGTGGTTTGTTTAAATGACTCACATTCATCCCCAGTGACAGCTGCGTGGCGTGGAGCCGCCACTGAGCAGGACGCCGTCTCACCGCGGCTCCCATCCTGCTCTGGTGGAGCAAGGTGACCGCGAGGGTGCTGCCGGGAAAGCCGGATGACGCTCTTGCCCAGCCTGGGGCTGGTGAGCTGGAGCAGGCAACTGGGCAGAATCTGCTCATTTTCTAAGAAAAATCATTTACTTATTTATTTACTTACTTCTATTATTTTTTAATTTGACCAGAGAGAGAGAGAGAGAGAGAGGGAAAGTGAGAAAACAAGCCAGCAGGTCTGGGACTTGAACAGTGGCTGGCCACATGGGAGTCCAATACCCTAACCACCACGCCATCTGCCAGTCCCCGAATCTGCTCATTTTTACCTCCTCCTATTTCTATTACTCTTTCTAGACTGGACTCTGGTGTAAGATGGCAGCTGATTTTGCCTACGGCTACTCGGTTAGGCTGGTGAGCCGAGGTGCCAGGAGGAGTAAGGACACACATGCCACAGCCCTTCAGGGGCACTTTCTTCTACACCAGACTTCAGAACCTGGAAACTCCAGAGGTCTCTAGACTGCTTTTCTGATTCACTAAACCTCAGATGAGGTCAGCGATGACGTAAAACTGGGAAGCCCAGAAACTTAAATGTGAGCATGCTATGAGCCACTGCAGGGGGTTATCTAAATAAATCAACCTGAGATTTATTTAGGTAAGGTCACCGAGGCCCACAGAAGGCAAATCCCCACCACGGCTGCAGAGCCCCTAAGTGACAGAGCTGGAATTCAACCCAGGCCATCCGAGAAGAAACGACAGACCCACTGACCGAGAGATAAGAAGTTCAATATTGGGATCAGCAGATGGCATAAGGTTACGTTGCTGGACTCCCATAAAGACGACCAGTTAGGGTCCCAGACCCGGTGGCTTAAAACTCATGCTGGGTGCGTACATGTATGCCCCAAATCCCAAGACAATGGAGGAGAAGGGATTGTGGTATTTCTATCTGTCGCTCCCATGAGCTCACACACCCTACAGCAAAATCTCTCTTAAAGAAAAACAAACAAACAAACCAAAAAAACAGAAGTTCAATATCCTAATGAAGAGGGTGCACTGAACACACCACTTTCACCCTCACCTAACCCTAGAACTCTCAAATGGCCGTTAGGGGAGGAAGGTATGACCACCCAAAGATACGGGAAATGGGAGACAAGAAGACAGCAACCACGTGAAGCTCAGAAGTGGCGGGAGAAGCAGTAGCTACAACGACAGGCCCGAGAAGGCTGCGTCCTACGTTGGCTGAGGAGAGCCCGAGTCACCGCGTGGACCCACCGAGGGAAAGGTGGGGCTAGAGCGGAACAGGCTGGAATGTGTTTCAGAGGCGCTCAGGGCCCCGGGCCTCCCACCCTCGCACCATATGGCCAAGTGACTTCCCTGCAGACAGAGGCTGGGGAGGGCCACCTCTGGATGCAGCTAAACAGTCTCGCCCTCCCCGGGGGCAAGGACGTCAGACTGAACACGGGGCCTGCATGGGCCGTCACGCACTCCCCCTGGGACCCTCCCGGCCTTGTTTCTCTTCTACACGCATATTGGGAAAGATGAAAACTTTCTGAAAATCATTTTCTTAAAAAAGGCAAACAACACACGCAGTACCAATTTAGGGACAGCATCTTACTTTTTTTTAGTTGCTTGACTTAAGCCCAATTAAATTTCAGTAGAAGGGGCAGCAGGACCAGTTGGGACGCCCGATGGAGGGCCTCGGAGAGTTGGGGAGCGGCCCCGGGAAAGATGGCGAATGTGCAGGGGAGAGAGGGGCCTCTTGATTACAAAGGCTGTCGAACTGGGACCCTAGCCAGCTGACAGGAACATCACGGCCAACCGCTCTGCAGAACATGGCCTGCAATGGTCCAGCCGCCGCTGCGGGGGTGGGGGTGGGGGTGTAACTGTGACTACGAACCTTTTCAGGCCTTCAGCTTGGCATCCTGAGGTGAGACCCCCAGTGCCGCCGGAGCCTGACCCCAGCAGTTTTTTCAAATGTCCCATAGTCATTATTTTGAACCTTATTTGAGGCAGCTCTCCAAACACTGCTTTCCTGTCGTCCAAGTTTGGTTAGCTGGCGTGGTGTGAAAAACCAACCCCGTTACCCCACTTTGCACCCGGCAGCCGCCCCGTGTCCGCAGGAGGACCACGATTTCATTCCTGCCCACAACATGTCCCCACAGGCCCACGTGGGCTTGGCTTCTTACCTGTCTCTGCATTTCTTCGATCTGCCTCTGGGGGACACTCTGCAAAATGCTGTAGACGTCAGACAGCTTCTCCTCCGGCACAGCCACGGACGCCCTGGAGATAACCAGACAGACATGGGAACCTTTCCAGGAGTGCCTCCATGGAGACTCGTTTCATTCCGGCGGGCACCAACACCGACACCCCTAAGTCCCTCAGCCCACGGCCCTCCCAGTGAGAACTTGCTCTTCCCCCCTTCCCCTCCTTTTCTCATTCACAGCTGACCTTCTCAAAGGAGTTCCTCACCAGCTCTAGAATTTTTTACCTCCCACCCACTATTCCATTTACATTTTTTTTTTTTTTTTGGAGAGGCTTTTTTGCTATAGGGCGTGTGCGCTCACCAGAAAAACAGAGAGAGACAGAAAGACAGAAGGCGAGAAATCACCCTCCAGGGGGAATGGCTATGCCACAATCCCTTCTCCTCCATTCTCCTCTTGGGATCTTGGGCACTCACACACATGCACCCGGCATGAGTTTAAGCTGCTGGGTCCGGGAATTGAACCACAGTCGACTACATGGCAGTCCAATGACATAGCCATTATGCTAACTGCTGGTCCCTAAATTTTTTTTTTTTTTTAGGTTTTTGCCATAGGGTTTGTACACTCGCTAAAGAGAGAGAGAGAGAGTTAGGGAAAGTGAGGAATCACCATCCCTGGGGCAATGGCCATACTGCAATCCCTTCTCCTCCATTCTCCTATTAGGATTTTGGGCACAGGCACACTCACCTGGCATGATTTTTCAAGTCACTGGGTCTGGGATTTGAACTGTGGTCGACCATGTGGGAGTCCAGTGCCTTAACCACCATGTCCACCTGCTGGTCCTCAAACTTTTATTAATTTGCCAAAGATTGCGTGATACATTCATCAAAGAGAGACGGAGAAAGAGAGGGACAAAGAGAAAGCACCCCCGCATGGGCCTCAGTCATGTCCTGATACCTTTTCCTCCATCGCTCCCTCCTGTTGAAATTTTTAAAGCATGCATGCATGTACAAACACACACACACACACACACATTCCCAGCATGACTTTCAAGTCACCAGGTCTGGGACTTGAACCATGTACTTGGCCATGCAGGGTCTAGCTCCCTAAACCACCAGGTCACAGGCTTGCCACTGTTCCATTTCTCTCTCATCCTGCCTCCACTGCCCTGGTGTGCTCTAGGCACACTGATCTGCTTTCAGACACCTGAATATCCCACCAGAGAACCTTTTTTTTTTGGAGAGGTTTTTGCTATAGGACACATGCACTCACCAGAAAGACAGAGAGACAGAAAGTGAGAAATCATCCCCCAGGGGAGATGGCCACACCACAATCCCTTCTCCTCCATCCTCCTCTCGGAATCTTGGGCATGCACGCACATGCACCTGGCGTGAGTTCAAGCCACTGGGTGCAGGACTTGAGCCACGGTCTGCTACATGGGAGTTCAGCAACATAACCATTACGCCAACTGCTGGTCCCCCACCAGAGGACCTTTGCATGTAAAGCTCCCCCGACCCGTACACCCTTCCTCGCCCGTCACCACCTCTCTGGACTGACACTACTTTACCCTCTAGCTAGCTACCCAAATCCAGCCCTCTGTCTGTTACGAGGAGGCCCTGCTAACACACCAGGAGTGAGTGAGACAAGGACGTGGGGAGTAAACAGCCACGAGGCAGGCTGAGGGGAGAGCATCCGAGCAGAAGGTCCAGCACAGGAAAGGTCTCAAGGAAGTCACGTGTCTAGCATGTTCTGGGAACAGCAAGGAGGCCACTGAGGCTGGAGTAGAATAAAGAAGAGGCTAAGGAGATGGGGAGGTGGTCACTGAAAGCATCTGGACCTCATAGCCTGAAGGACGTGACTTGTGCCCTCACTCTAGATGTAAAGTCACGGGAAGGTGCGGGGCGGGGCATGCCATGGCCTGATCTGATCAGGCTGCAGCAGGCAGCATCGAACAAGCCCGGAAAGTAAGAACAGGAGCGCGGAGAGGAGCTGGGGGCGACCGCAAAGGCCAGGCAAGAGGCGCTGACGTGGGAGGCCTGGTGAGAGGGAGATGGGGAGAGCCCGTGGATCTGCTAACCAATGACGTGTGGTGGCTAAGCGACAGGAGAGGGGGCTCAGTGGTCACTTCTTCATGACATTTGTAAGTCTGTTTGTATAAATGAATCGATTAACATCTAAACCGCTGTTGCTAGCCAGGTGAGTCCATGAGTGTGGGAGGCACACTGGTTCCACCACAAGCGTACCCTGGGCCTGGCAGGTTGCCCAGCACACAGCACTTGGAAACCCTCTGTTAAGCAAGTAAATGATTTGTACTATACAGACGGGAAAACCGAGGCTCAGAAAAGATGAAGTGACCTGAAGATCACAAAGCTGGATGGCGACACGGCTGGTGGTCTGAACCTAGGCCTTCGGACTTCAGCCCGGAGTCCTGTCACCACTTACCCGTAATCTCGACCACCTACGCAGCTTTAGATTATCCTAGAAATAAACTTCTAGATTCAGATCAGAGACGCCGCTTCTGTGAAGCCCTCCCCAAGCCCACAGCCAACAACAGCACATGTCTCCTCCTCCCGTCTTCTCCTCCACCCCAGCAGTCAGGCTGCAGCCCCTCAAGTATTAGCTGGCTGTCTGGCTCCCACCACTAGACCGTGAGCTGCTCGGAGAGGTCTGACCTGTTCACGTCCGCACTCCCGCACCTAATATGGGGCCTGGCCAATACGAAATTCTCCGTGACGATGTCTGCAAGGGTGATAGATGCTGAGTGGCTGTCCCTGCCCTAAGACGTGAGAATAACCACTCACTCTGCTCCTTCAAGCTGAGCTGGCCCCCTCCTGCCCTGGGCTTCCACGCCCCTGTGTACGCACTGCGATGGCATTGGCCACACGGTGTTAGAACGGTCGGTCTGTCTTCCCCATTAGACTCTGGCCTCTTCAGAAGCAGAGGCTCTACGTTATTCAGAGTAGTAGAACGTTACTCCACAGCGGTGAGATGAAGGAAGGAAGGAGTGCTGTTTGTCTGTAAAAGACCTGCGGTGATGGGACTTGGGAGCAAGCTTTAACAAAACGGTCTACACCTCATCTGGCTGCTGTCACGCTACCCGGCAGAAGTGAGGCACTGCAGCAGAGGTGGCCAAGACCTACAAGGCCACACCACCGTCAACAATTCCGCATTTGATGCAAGGACGAAACAGAGCTAAAGATAAAGGAATTCGGGAACCAGCAGTTAGCGTAATGGCTATGTCGCTGGACTCCCACGTAGTCGACCGCGGTTCACGTCCTGGACCCGGTGGCTTAAAACTCACGCCGGGCGCGTGTGCGTGCGTGCCCAAGATCCCGAGAGGAGAATGGAGGAGAAGGGATTGCGGCGTGACCATCCCCCCTGGGGGGTGATTTCTCGCTTTCTGTCTCTATGTCTCTCTCTGTCTGTCTGGCGAGCGCACGCGCCATACAGAGAAAATCTCTCCAAAAAAAAAAAAAAAAAAAAGATAAAGGAATTCGTTTTAAATCAGCTTCAGCCTCTCAAGCCTT